TAGTCCAAGGTACACCCCATCAGTCAAAGGGCTTGAGGAGTTCTGACTTAATTTTATCATCACCCTATTAGTCCAAGGTATGCCCCATCAGTCGAAGGGTTGGAGGAGTTCTGATTTAATTTCACTGCACCTGCTTAAGAATGGGGTTTCGCGCGATTTTTGAGCAATGTCCTCTTTGCTGATTTTCACTTCTTTTCGTTAGTCCAAGGTACACCCCATCAGTCGAAGGGCTTGAGGAGTTCTGACTTAATTTTATCATCGCCCTATTAGTCCAAGGTATGCCCCATCCGTCGAAGGGTTGGAGGAGTTCTGATTTAATTTTATCATCGCCCCATGAGTCCAAAGTACGCCCCGTCAGCCCAAGGGTTGGAGGAGTTCTGATTTAATTTTGTGACGGCCCTATTAGTCCAAAGTACGCCCCATCTTCCCATCCGCCCACGTGTTGACGCCAGAATTCCTAACACCCCGCCTCCGCTCAAAAAATCAAGAGCAGCATGAGCATGTCGGTGTTTCTTCAATGTCTTCCCATCTGCCCACGGGTTGCCACGGATTGACACGAGTACCGTTGACAATCTCCAGTCAGAAGAAACGTGAAGAAGCCATCTGTGTATAAGTCGTGTACTGAGGCTCGAAAAGGGGTCCTCTCAGCTGGAGAACACTAGACACCCACGATACACGATACACAGAGGCAAGCACTAGCCTGAGTGCGCGAAGCTGCTGTAATACAGGCAAAACAGGACACAGCGCAGGGCACTTCTACAATCTGTTACAAGGGCCCGCATGTGATGCCTGCCCGAAAGGCTCAGTAGGGCCTCAGCAGATCCGCCGTCAGGAGGGCTCTGGCCCAACATGCGCGTGCAGCATGCGGCTTTACAAGGCCGGCGGCTCCAGGACAACGGCTGCCGAGCGGACAGCAGGCTCAGCCTGGGCCCCTGTCTGAAGCTCAGCACGGCGGCGCAGGGCCGCACGAGCCCGGAAGCCCCGGATGCAAACCGAGAGCTCCTGAAACATAAGCCCAGTCAAGGCTGCCCCATCGACGCCCTCTCTGGCGGCTGCTGCAGACGCAAAGAGACGCAGAATGCGGTCAGCTCCCCTGTCCCAAGCGCCGGTGGTCTCCGCCACCATCGGAATGAACTTGATGCCTTGCACGGCACAAGTGGCTGCGGTGTTCAGGTGCGAAGACGGCAGCATAGGCCGCTGCCGCACTGACTGCTTCGACCGATGCCTGGGGGAGGGACCCGATCCGCTGAGGGCCAGTAATGGCCAGGTCAAGTGCAGATGGGGACCCTTCCAAGCAGGGAACGAAGATGTCAGCCGGTCGCCGGCCTGAGAGCTTGACACGAGTATTCCTAAATAGCTTTCACCCCGCCTCCGCTCAAAAGATCAAGAGCATCATGAGCACGCCGGTCTTGTTTTCGGTGTCTTCCCATCCGCCCGCGGGTTGCTACGGATTGACACGAGTATTCCTAAATAGCTTCCCCCCCCGCCACCGCTCCAATGATCAAGAACATCATGACCATCTCGGTTTTGCTTCGGTGTTTTCCCAGACGCCCACGGGTTGACACGAGTATTCCCAAATAGCTTCTACCCCGCCACCGAACAAACGATCAAGAGCATCATGACCATATCAATCGGCTTTGCCACTGTACTGCAGCTGAGCAACGGTTTTGTCGCGCTTGTCCTTCCTGCCATCCCTGCCAGGCTTCTTCTTGATGCCTGGTTGAAACCGAAGACCCTTCAGTTCACGTCTCAACATTTTCGGATCTCCTTGCCGGCACGCGAGCCACACGTGTCCACACGATGGTCGCATGCTCCGCACGCTACGCACCGGTGAACCTGCTTGCCCCCATTGCGCCCCTTCAGGAGCGCGAACTTCATGGCCCCCTACTCCTGCAGCCGATATGGCAATGTGATATCCTGAGATACCATGATCATGAACATTCGACTGGGCAATGACAACTTGTAACTGTCAGTTACAAGTTAATGATCGTGCCCCAAAAAACCCTCAAAATCAGCAAAGGCAACTGCGAGATACGATTATCGAGAACTACTGCAAATTACAGTACTTCAGGTCTCCGCATGCTGAAAAAATGTACCGTCACGAACGCGACCGGCGCGTAGTAGTAGTAGTAGTAGTAGTAGTAGTACTACTACTACTACTACTATTACTCTTACTATTACTATTACTATTATTATTACTATTTCGATTACTCTCACTATCACTATCACTATTATTATTACAATTAGTTTTTCCTCTTACTAGTGCTTTTACCATTACTATTAGTCAGCTTCTTCAAGGATTACACGTTGTGGGCAGAAACACAATACTGTCCTATGGTTGCACAAGGGCTCCCTGCAACGGATCCTATACCCCTCAAGCTCGGTCCCCACTTAGTTCGTTAAGCCCACCTAATACACATGGAAAGCAGACCATAACAGTAAACTCCAAAAAGTTGGCACATCTGGGTCCTTGTCCCCATACCCTAAAAGGCATACTAAAGGGGATCCCAAGTTTAATCATCCTTAAGCCATGTCCCAACTTTCTGGAGGTTACTATAACCCCCTTCCCAAGTCTTCCAAAAACCCCTAAAACCTTTAAACCCCTAAACCCTAAACCCCTAAACCCCTAACCCTTAAACCCCTGAGTTTTACTATAAACCCCCTTCCCCAAGTCTTCCAAAAACCGTCCCCAGGATCAGGGCCACCACCGCGGAGAGCACAAGACCCTGCATGACGGATCTCGAAGGCTGCGCCTCTTCACGAATTCTGGGAGATAGGTTCCTTTATAAGGGATCCCTAAGTGTTGCAAGGGGTTCCATAGGGTTCCTTTAGGGTTACTTTAGGCTACCTAAGAGACCCTAGCTGTCAGGGTTTTAGAGTCAAAGGCTTTTTGATTTTGGGTTTCGAGGTCGATTCATTGTTCAAAGGTGGATGTCCCTATGTGGCTTCAAAAGGGGTAAGATGTGGCCGACCAGTTTTTAGAAGTTTAGGAGCGGGCCTTTGGGTTCCAGAAAGGGCTTAGATTGGGCACTGCCCCCACCCTGTAACAGTCCTTAATAGGGACTATAACTGTAACTAATCTTTATCTAACTGTTACAGTGTGGGGGAAGTATCTACGGTTTGGAAACAATCGCCATTGACTTCCTAAACGCTTCTTTTTCGCTCCTTTCAGGAAGCTTCAACGAGGGATGCTGTGAGAAGCTCACCCAAGTCTTACAGGCTCTCCGATCTACGCAGCAATGCTGCCTTGGATAGCAATGTCTGAACAAAGCATGTCTGAAGACTTGAGAACTAAGAAGCCCGTAAGTCCTCTCTAGCTGGATTGGAGATAGATTCTGAGAGGTCAGTCCGAGAGAAGAGCACGCAGAATCTCAAACTGTGTTGCAGTTGCCAATCAGCCCAGCAGCAAATCCTTTGGAGTAAGAGAACTTGAGCAGGCAAGTAGCTGTACATAAAAGCCGCGCTGCAGCTGGATGAGGACACATCAGGCAGAAAACCCCACGCGTCATGTGCGCTGCGCTCGCGCGTATGTCCGCTGAATGGTGATGGTTGCACATCTTGTTGAGAACAAAGCAACAGCATTGTAAACAGTATGGTTTGTTTTCGCAAAGGTCCTCGGGCGGGCTTAGGGACTTGGGGGCCCTTACCTTGCATGGACAGTCGAGACATCAGCAACAACGGACGCATCCCCCCCCGAGATCGGCCCTTGGCTGTACGTTGCTGCAAAATACTACGGCTGTGGCTCGTTCCCCTATGGCCCCTTGCCCGTGAACCAGACCTCCTTGGGGTTCGATGCTGGCCCACACTACGAAAAGCGAGCATTCTTGGAAGTATCAGATGGCGGAAGCACATCCAGAGCCTTAACAGGGGCTCCTGGTGCTGGCTGTGGGGTCCTTGAAAAGAATGCTGGTACCTTTTCAAACATGCGAACAGCAACAGGCACGAAAAACTGAAGCAGTGTTGCGTTCGAAAGGCATGTTTTCAAATAACCATAGCTTGGGCACTGCCCCCTCCCATTAAGAGTCCTTCTTCGGGATCATAACAAGGCCCTTCTAGAACTGTAACCAATTTTTCTGAACTGTTAGTGCGTAGGGGCAGTATCCAAAGCATAGCCATGCTTTAGCAAGCGATTTCTGTGAAAAACACCCCTTGTGCACAGCTGGATAATCAGTTATCAACTATCTACGAGCGAGCTGCCACATCACTTGATCCTCGAAGTCCCCTTGCCTCAGTCCTAAAAGCTAGAAACCATGGGTCTAAACTTAAAACCCCCCTTACAAGCCTATATGCCAAAAACTGAAACTGTGAACCCCAACCCCCAGTGGCCCTAGTGGCCCTACTTGAAGGCTCAGGGCACTTAGTAAGTAGCCCCTAAGTAGGACTATAAGTAGGAGAACCTTAGCTAGGGTACTTATAATCCGAAGGATAATCTACTTACTAAGTCTTACTAAGTCCCCGGAGCCTTCAAGTAGGAACCCTTTAAGAGGCCCTAAGGAACCCCACAGGAACCCTTACTAAGTCCCCTGAGCCTCCAAGTCCTGCTGGCCTGTTGGCCGGCTTTGAAGGTGAAGGCGCCAGGGGGGCCACACGCCCAAAGGCCCAATGAAGGTAAGCTTCTACAGATTAGGGTTCTTGTTGTGATTCCTTTTAGGGTTACTAACCCTAAACCTAAACCCTAAACCCTAAACTGAAACTGTGAACCCCAACCCCCAGTGGCCCTAGTGGCCCTACTTGAAGGCTCAGGGCACTTAGTAAGTAGCCCCTAAGTAGGACTATAAGTAGGAGAACCTTAGCTAGGGTACTTATAATCCGAAGGATAATCTACTTACTAAGTCTTACTAAGTCCCCTGAGCCTTCAAGTAGGAACCCTTTAAGAAGCCCTAAGGAACCCCACAGGAACCCTTACTAAGTCCCCTGAGCCTCCAAGTCCTGCTGGCCTGTTGGCCGGCTTCGACCGTGAAGGCGCCAGGGGGGCCACACGCCCAAAGGCCCAATGAAGGTAAGCTTCTACAGATTAGGGTTCTTGTTGTGATTCCTTTTAGGGTTACTATTGGGCTTCCTACTAGGGATTAGGGTTCTTGTTCTCTTACTCCTGGTTCGTAAGGAATGAAGGAATGGAAACTAGAGGGACTACCATAAGGATCCAGTCCTTCATTCCTTACAAGCCATAAGTAAGCAAAGTAAGCTCTCATTAAGTAGGAACGGAGCCTGACCAAGGGAGATGCTAAGGCATTTCCCAAAAAGTGCCAGATGGTTTTATTCTTCTCCAAGGGGGAGGGGGACACTTTTGCGACAACTTCTTCAGCTTCCCATACCACAACAAGGACTGCAGATACCTTGAGAAATGACTGCGGGTCCAAGTTCCCAGCAGGCAGGCACATGGGATTTCTTCAGGTTTCGAGGCCATGTGCGATTTCGGGCATCTGGGCCCTATAGGGCCAATGTACACGGATCCACCCCTGCCCGAAGTTCCCGTCAAGGTGAGAAGCTACTAGTCCTGAATTGGAGATCCAAAACGCTTAAGATGAACCCCGTCAAAACTAAAAACCTGGACAAAAACAACATGTGACGTTGCTCAGCTGGCACGAAAAGGTGATCGTGCCCTCCTCAAGTATCAGCCGTCGTTGAATACTTGTCTGTATTGGTGAAGAGCCGGTCTCAGTAAAGTAAACCCTGCCGACCACTGCATGCAAGATGCTCACTTTACGAATAGCAGACAGCCGCATATACAACTGTCACTGCCACAATCTGCAATTAGAATCTCTGCAGGAATGCTACTGCTACTAATACACTGATCTCCAGCTGTCAGCACATTCATGACCAAACCCTTTTGATCAGAACACTGCTTGCGATTTTTTTCCTGGACCGAGCAGAAAGCAGAGCACAGCAGAGCTCAGTAGAGCACATTCTTTAGTCCTCGTCTCTGGGGAGCCCAGGGCTCACGCGGCTCATGCTCTGACAGCCTTTGATGGCAAAGAGGCTTAAGGCAATGGTGACAAGCACCGTCGCTTCCCAAATGCTTTGCATGGGGCCTGGGCCACTGCAAACTGGCGCGGGCTTCCACAAGGCATGGAAGACAAAGCCGCCAAGGATGGCAGCCTGCGCGCTAGCGAGGAACACCAGCCACACTTGGCACGCATGGCGTTGTGAGCAACACCTTGCAGCAGGCCACAGCACGGCGGGGTACAGAAAAGCAAAGTTGGAGATTGCGAAGGCCAGCCCTTCATGGACGCAGGTCCACGTGCAGTCCAGGCCTGTGATAGGCTCCTTGAGATTCACCGGAAGAACCTCCAGCGAGCGGAACACCCGAAGCCACACAGGCAGGACAAGCATGCGCCAGAGCGGCACCGGCATAAGCTGGGAAGCTGCCAACTGCGAAACAAGCGAAGCAAGGAAGTCACAGCCACGGGCGCTGGCCCAAAGGAAACCTGCCCACAGGACCAGGCACCAAAGGTGCACAGTAAAGGCAGGACCTCCCCGCTGCCAGACCCAAACCCCCCACAAGGAGTTCGACGCACATTGCTTGGCCGAGAAGCCTTGGCTCCGCAAACTGCTCTCCATCTCTCGATATCTGGCCTCCCAGATGTGCTCGGAGTCGGATGTCCCATACACCGTATCCCTTTCGTACAAGACCAGCTTCACCGAGCGGTCTGCGAAGGCTGCCTGGAACTGATGATACACATCCGGCCAACAGCCGTCACAGTCAATAAACCATACGGCAGGAAGCTTCCCAAGGACAGCACGCATATATCCAGGCGTGAAGCACCTCTCCACGCGGAAACTGTCCTGGTCATCGTCAGTCCTGAACTTCAGAGGTGCCGAAGCATTGTGCTGCGAATCTAACCCCTTGCCACCATCCAGAAGTTGTGCGCCGTCTGGACAATGCTCCCGGTCAGCCATCAGCCCATGTGCCAGGTGCACCTGTGGAGCTGCTGCGGACCCCTCCTAGCTGTACAACCTGTAGCTACCATGAGGCTTCTTAGGAAGTCTTAGTCTGTTTGAAAACTCAGTTGCTACGAACCATTTCGAGACTGCACCTGGCTCCCGCTTGCAGCGAGGTTCTTCTGCAGGAGCGGCAGGACACCAGTGTTGGGTTCTACACAAACGGTCCGCAATCCCACCCTGCCCCCAGCTTGGTTGGCTTCCAGAAGCTTGTCCAAAAAGATGCAACTGGTTCCCACATAGACCCCTATGTTGATGCCGGTCTCATAAGAGGCATCCCAGTGCTTAAAGAGGCCCTTCTGCTCGGCTGACTCCATCCTAGCGTTCAGCTCCCGACTGCCACTTCTCAATTCCAAGGAGAAGGAGGGCGCGAAGCTTGGAAAAAACACCGTGCGCCCGTTACAGCCGAGTAGAACCAAGGAATAACTTGCCAAGGCCGCCAGTGCAGCTCCCAGCAAAATCCGGGCAGTCATACCATCAATCGAGCTGAGGCCGTCTTCTTTTTTTCTAACACATGAGATCAAACCTAAACATCGAAAACATCCCTTTAAGTTACAAACAACGTGCAAAGACACCTTCCATGATAAACAGCAGCTGTCAACTTTGCTTGCCTTTGTGGTTGATGCTTCGAGAACATCTGCATGTCTCGCTGCTACCATGTCTAGAATCAACGTCATAGGTTCAACATCCTATTGGAGTCAGGGATGGTCACAGAATCCATGCAATGCATCTTCAGAAGATACAAGCCACTGCTTCACAGACAGATTTTGCGTCCATGGGCGCGCAAAGTCTAAAAAGGAATCAGTGAGGCCTGAAGCGACGGTTTGGTTTTTGGAGAATGAAGTTAAGTGATCGAGCTAGACCTCGCAATGCGCAGGGTTTCACTTGCCGTCGCCTTGCAAGGCACGTTGGGCTTTCAAGGAGCTTCACAGAGTTCAGGGGTTCACCTGCGGAATGGTAAAGCATGTCCGGAAGCTATGGCCTGGCTGGACAGTTTCCCCAAATGTCTGCGTAGCTGGAACGCGACACTCGTGATTCGCGGACAATTCTTTAATTCACCCCAACCCTTAAGTCTTGGGCCTTGTGGTTCAGGAATATGTTCCAGGCCCCTAGGCCACAATGGAATGCACGGTATGGTTCAAGGAACAAACAGCCTTGCATTCAGAGAGATCCCGGCGCTAAACAATGTTGAAATTCGTGAGACCTCTTATTGATTCCTGCATCGAAGTTTGGATGCTCTGGTCAAGCCACTAGCTCAAGTTGCCACCGGCTTTGCGGAGAACACAGGCTTCCCACTGGCAGTAGATTGACTCCTTACGTTGAAAGCTTGCCGGTATAAGGCGTGACCAGAAGAGATAAACGTTCATGCAGGACCATGTAAGGTTTGTGGCAAATCTAGGAGTCTAGGCTTTCTAAATTCTAGAACAACCACTCATGGTTCAAGATAAAACGGAGTCTAAGGCTCGTTGAGCCGGGCGATGCCACAGTTGTTGCAGCATTTTGCGTTCTGAAGAAAAGACGAGAAACAAAAAACAGTTCAAAGCCACACAGCGCAATAACCCCCAAACCAAAAGTGGCCAAGACTCAAGGTTGGCTGGGAACTCGAAGCCTGGGTAAAAGAGGTTTGAAGTTGCATAAACATCTACTCAAAGAGGCTGTTGCACAAAAAATCTAAACCCGACAATTTACCCCACAATAGCTTTTTAAGAGCTGTCCCAAATCGGTACGCGAAGCGTTCCAAGCTGGTCCAAGCTCTTGGGGACCGCAGCATGTGATGGACCCATGCCTGGTCAGGGGCAGGAAAAGTTCGTGTTTCTGGGAGTTGGAGATTAGGGTTTAGGGTGCTTGCGCCTTCATGTGCCATATCTGCTGCATCAGCAACAACAAAACAACCAACACAAGCAACACGAGCAACACAAACAATAAAAATAAGAAAAAAACAACAACAATAACTACAAGAACTACAATAACTACAACAACAACAGAAAGAACAACAACAACAACAACAACAACAACAACAACAACAAGAACAATAACAAGAACAACAACAAGAACACAGCAGCAGCAACAGCAACAATCACAACAACCATCACAACAACAGTCACAACAACAGTCACAACAATAATTACAACAACAACCACAACAACAATTATAACAACAATCACAACAACAATCACAACAACAATCACAAAAAACAATCACAACAACAATCACAAAAAACAATCACAACAACAACCACAAAAAACAATCACAACAACAACCACCACCACCACCACCACCACCACCACCAACAACAACAACAACAACGACAACGACAGCGACAAGGACAACGACAACAACCACAACCACAACAATGACGACGACAACAACAACAAC